GCTTCCTTTAGTGTAGGAGGCTCTGAGTGGTGTAAGTGATAAATGCGAACTCAAAGACTGGTGTCTTCGTTCTCATGCTGCTGTACCAGAAATGCCATCAGTGCATGGCTCTCACAAACAGAGATGGATTCTCTCAGAGTGTAGGAGGCTGGGAGTCCAAACCCACAGTGCTGTGTCTGGAGAAAGGTCCTTGGCTCAGCATCAGTAGACCCAGCCTTCCTTGGAGAGCTCTGTGTGTCTTGACATCAGTTGCTCCCTGGATCTGGTCACTTCACAGCGCAGGGACACCAGGTCTAAAGTATGCACTGCACTCTGGACTCTTCATACCTGGTGGCAGCGGGTTCTTCTTTCTCTGATCCTGTCTTTCTCCTTTTTTCTCTTGTAAGATACAGCGTGTTGCATGCCACACTCTTGGGGATATCCTGTACATTGGAAAATGGTTGTGCATTAAGGGTGGTGCACTGGATCGCAAAGCGAGTTTGAACTGCCAGGTCGGCGGTTCAGACTCACCAGCCTGTATTGCAGAAGAGGGGGAGTTCGCAGGTGAGGGTTCTCTTAGCACCTCATCTCAACAGGTTTGCAGGATCAGACAGCCAAATGAACACTCGAGGTGCAATGGGAAGACGGCTCATTCTTTTTATTCAGCAAAAGAGTGGTCAGCACAGGGGAAGGGGTCCTTCGCCCTCTCTAGCTCCCAGAGCTCTCTCAGACTTTCTTCCTGTGTCTGTTCCATCCTCCCTTGTGTCTCTCTGCTGTCCTTACCTCTCGTGAGGGAGGGGGGAGGAGGGGGGAGTTCCTATGTACTACTACAGAACAAAGAAGGCATCTTGCGAAATAGACCCAAAGGTTATATAACAGTGTGCCATCATTCTAATATGGCGGCACACAGAGCAGTGACTTAGCATTCCCTGGTTTCCGTCGGAACCACCGAGTCACCCTGGCTGGAAGGAAAGGGGTCCCTGATAAGCGATAGTCACTCCCTGGCTAGCACTAGCTTCTGACCCAACACCAGCCACTCCTCGGAAACTCCATACAGGGTTGCTGTGAGTCGGAACTGGCTCAACGGCACTTAACAACAACGTCCCACTCTTAATCCTCTTGTTGGTTTATTGGTTTATGCCATCAGATCACAGCATGGGGGATCCTTACATAAGCGTCAAACCACTGTGCATCGTAGTGCAGGCAAGCTGGCACATATTTTGAGGGGAGTACAATTCAATCCATGACAGTTGGAGTCACCAGATAGGCACCTTGCAAGGAAACCCTGGCAGTCGACTGCCAGAATATCAAGCGCTGAAAACCCTGTGGGGCACACTTCTATTTTGATGCATCTGAATCTCTGTGAGTCATAATCAAGTCATAAGTAACTGACATTGTTACTTTAGCTGAGGTCAGTTGTGGGAACTTGACTTGTAAAGGACTCACCAAAGGAATCATAGGTAGAATTTTTTAAAAAAGACACTCACCCAGATGTATCCTGATGGAATTTTGGAACTCCAAGGATGCTGAGAAAATAGTAGACGTTTTAGACCAAAGAAAGAAATTTCTTAACAAAATAAAAATAAATGTCAGGTTAATATTGAGTGCACATCTACAGTGCGACAATCTAGAAGCTAATGGAAGTGTTGGAGACTATTTCAAGTGATGGATGCAATCCAAGAGTCTTATACCCAACCAGGATATCATTCGCTGTGTGGGCAGGAACCATGTACAGACAGAAAAGAATTGCCTTCTAACTTAAAACTAGCCTAGATGTTATTCTAATAAAGCAAAAATGAAACCATACCAATACTTTAAAGAGAAAGAAATAGTTTAGAAAGAACCAAACGCAGTGGTGAGTCATGAATTGAGTGTGGTCAGAATTTGATGGTTGACAATAGTGTTGTACGCTTGGAGCAATCATTCTGGAATTTTCACATTCATGGTGAGTCAACAGAAAACAGATGACTGTCAACTCCTAGTTCTCTTCTAGTTCTCCACCAATACCACCTCAGTGTCTTAGTTTTCTAATATTCAGATCATTTATTGTTGGAATTGGGGACTCTTCTATATAGTAATATGGTATAGTTATGTAATTGGTCAAGTCCTGGTATGGTGCTATCGGACAAGCGCTGGACTGCTCACCGCAACAGTGGTGGTTCAGACCCACCAGCTGCTCCTAGGAAACACTGTACAGGGTTGCTATGAATTGGAACTCAATCAGCAGCACTTAACAGCCACAGTAGCGACATTAATTGTCTTAGTAAACAAACAAACAGAAATCAAACTTGTTACTGTAGCATCAATTCCAACTCTTAGCAGCCCCAGGTTGTACAGAGTAGAACTGCCTCCAAAGGGTTCTTTTGGCTGTAGTCTTTCTGGAAGTAAATCACCAGGTCTGTAGTCTGTAAAGCCACTGAGTGACCAGAACCTCTGGTCTGTCAGCTCGTTGTTGAGCATTTAAAAGATTTGTACCATACGGTGACTCTTCACATTGGTCTGGAGGGTGTGGGTTCATGTGGGCATACAGATCTCATTCTCAAAGTGACGCAGAATTTAAAGACAGAAAGAGAGACCTGGGGAGCTGCAGAGACTCTGGGGAGACAGGACCACTCCCCAGGGAATCAGCCACATGGCCATGAGCCTGCTGCTTTCCTGACACTTGGGTCTGAATCTGCCTGCATTCTTGCCGCCACCTTCACCACATGCTTTGAGGGCCCGTTTGGGGAGATGCTGTCATGGAATTTCTGTGTTTCTCACAACTCCTCCAGCCTGTGCCTCTGGCCAGCTGTCCTCTTTGAATGTCAGAAATCTGCTGTGTGAAGTCATCTGTTAGCCTTGTGGTTGCTCCCTCGGTGTCTTTGGTTCATGCTCCAGTTTCTGATGAAATCTGTGGTTTTCGCTTTTCACCTGGGAACACATTACAGGAATTGTCCAGTTTCAGGATTTCGGGGTGTGTGATTCAGTGTCCTTCTCAGTGATGATTTCCCTGGTATGGGAGTCTCTGTGATTCTCTGCAGGTTCGTCAACATCATAGTTGAGATTGCTGACACATGCCATCCAAGAGCCCCTCATCAGCACCCTCCATGAAGTGAGGTCCGTGCTTACAACATGTGGTCCAGCCAGCATTTCCACTCTTAGTGTCTGGATTGGGCAGAACAGTTATTTCCTTCTCAGTTCTCCTGGGTCACTCACGATGCTTCAACTGTGGCCATCTGCTAAGCACACTTTCTTAGTGAGATGGATTTGGGAACCGTGTGCTGGGGGATACACAAAGCAGGGTCTCCACAGAGGAGAGGAATGTATAGCAAAGCCTGTTCCAAACCTAGCTAGCAATGGCATTGGGGGAGTCCCTGGCATCACCTCTTTCTTCTCTATACTCTGCGCCCATCCCTCCCAAATTCTGTTGCTTCACCTACCCAAACACCCAGTCACTTCCTTACTCATTTCCATTGTTGTATTTTAAGATTCCATTTGTAGCTGGACCACTAGAATAAATTTTTCAAACTCTTAATTTTCAAACTCTTAATTTTAAAACAATGGGCTATAATACAAACAAAAAGTCATATGTCATGCAAAAGTCCTGGGGTGGTGTAAATAGATGCCGTTACTAACCAAAAAGTGGGAGATTCAAGGCCACTCAGAGGTACCATGGAATAAAGGCTTGGTGATCTATTTAAAAAAAAAAACAATTAAATCAGCCATTGAGAACCCCACAGAGCCCACATAGTTCTACTCTGACACACAAGGAGCCACACACAATGAGTCAGCATTGATTCGTTGACCACTGGTTAATGTAAAAGTACAATGCAAAGACTAATTTGAAGACCTCTTTAACCATTCAGTTGAAGAAACAGCATTTGTCAAACTTTTAAAACCTCCTCCAGGACTTTCCACTGCTCCTAGCTCCCCTACTCCTTCTTCTTGTTGTTAAGTGCCTTCAAGTTAGTTCTGACTCATAATAACCCTGTCTAGGGTGTCCAAGGAGTAGCTAGTGGATTGGAACCACCGACCTTGTGACTCAAACTGACCTTGTGGTCCAGTGCTTATCCTACAGCACCACACCAGGCCTCTCCCTACACCTTAGAGGTCTGACATAATCTTCTCACTATCTGTCTTCCTGCCTCTAGCCCTCTCCCTGGGTCACCACATCTCCTCTACTCTGAGTCCGTACAGACTGGTTTGTGACATGCCTCATTAGTGGGGTGATGTGCACAGTCTGAGACAGTGGGGGTATGGCCCCATGGTACTGGGGTATATATACCTCCTGTGAGCCACAGTTTTCCATTACCTGGGTTGTGCACCTCTCTGTTCCCTTCACCTCCTCTTCATCCACTAACCTTTCTCTGTGGCTAGGGATTGGCTTAGCGTCCCTGAACAGTTGCTGGCCACTCCTGGCTTCTTTGTTGTTATTGTTAATTGCCATCAAGTTCTGACCCATAGCGACTCCGTGCAGGGTTTCTGAGGAGCAGCTGGTGGATTTGAACTGCTGACCTTGTGGTTCGCAGTCCAGTTCTGGTCCTATAGCACCACACCACTATTTAATGACCACTATTTGAGGAGTCCTGGTGTGGCGCTGTGGGCTAATGCAAAGTCATTTGAACTGCAAGGTCAGTGGTTCAAGCTCACCAGCTGCTCCTTGGAAACCCAATACAGGATTGCTATTGGGTCGGAATTGACTTGATGGCACTTAACAACAACAATTTGATTTGAAGGTAGGAGAAGGTTGACCACTATACCCTGGGAGATCAGGAACAGCCTGTAGAGGCAGTAGAACATGGGAGGGCCTTAGAGGAGACATGAAGATCTGTCTTCCTTTATGTTATCTGTCTTTATGTCTTCGGAATTAACATTGGGTTTTTTTGTGTTTTATTTTTCTCAATAAGTACTTTTTCTGGTCTCATTTGTACTGATGCTCCACGCTGTGGGAGAACCCTAAGGACATGATCATGGTGTGGGGCTCACTGGGGTGGCCAATCTGGTAGTGTCTGACTTTGCTCTTTTAAACATTCATCCTACAGGGCTGCCTTGAGCATGGGTGTTCTGTGAGTGTCTGCCATGGCCAGCCGGAGGCGCCAGACCCCCGTGAGCAGCATGCTGGACCACAGGGCACGGACAGGGCCCCCGGCCACCCACAACTTGCAACCTGAGAGTCAGGAGGTGGAGCTACCCTTAGAGGAGTACCTGCCCACTGGCCTGGAGCTGGCCACCCTGCATGGCACTGAGAGCCCCCCACCTGTGGAGCAGGAGTGCACTGACCACAGCCCTGATGGGGACTCGAGCTCTGACTACGTCAACAACACCTCTGAGGAGGAAGACTATGATGAGGGCCTCCCAGAGGAGGAGGAGGGCATCACCTACTATATCCGCTACTGCCCCGAGGATGACAGCTACCTAGAGGGAATGGATTGCAATGGGGAGGAGTACCTCGCACACGCGCCCCCTCACATGGAGACTGATGAGTGCCAGGAGGCTGTGGAGGAATGGACAGAATCGGCCGGCCTGCACCCCCTTGACCCTGAGGCTGAAGGTAGCCAGGACTATGGGGATGGCCACCCCCCTATCCCAGAGCATGAGGCCTCCACGCTGGAGACCCATGACCAAGAAGAAGATGTCCACTACTGTCCAGTTGAAGATGGGTACCAGGACTACTACCCGGCAGAGGCCAATGGGAATGCAGGGGGGGCCTCCCCTTACCACCTAAGGCGAGGGGACGGGGACCTTGAGGACCAGGAGGAAGACATTGACCAGATTGTGGCCGAGATCAAGATGAGTTTGAGCATGACCAGCATCGCCAGTGTCGGAGAGGCCAGCCCCGAGGACATGAATATGCAGGGGCCCGAACTGGGGCCTGGGGACTCAACGGAGGCCTGCCCACCGGTCAAGGCCAGCCGTGGCCCCAGCAGACATGAAGGCCGGCCCAAGTCTCTGAACCTCCCAGTGGAAGCCAAGCACCCCGGAGAACCCCAGAGAGGTTTCAAGACCAAGGCCAGGACCCCAGAGGACAGGCCAAAGTGGCCCCAAGAGCAGGTAGGGCTCTGACCGGGAGGAAGGGACAGTGGGTCCTGAAATCAAAGGTTTGACTAGTGTAGTCTTGCAGGGCGGAGGGGCCGATTGTTCAAAACGTTATGGTCATTCTATTGTTTGTTTGTTTACTGTATGCAATCTTTATTGCAAAACCTTTTACCTCTTCGTAAGACTAAAATTCAGTGATATTAATTATATTCACTGGGTTGTGCAACTGATCCTATTGTCCATTTCCAAAAGTTTTTTATCTCCCCAAACAGAAACTCAGCAGCTCTGCAATAGTGACTCCGTTTCTCCCTCTACTCAGGACCTGCTCATTACTAATTAAACAAATATGCATTTGCCTATTCTAGATATTTCCTATAGATGGGATCATAAAATAGTTGTCCCATTGGGCCTGATTTATTTAACTCTGTATGATATTTTTAAGACTCATCCATGTGGTAACATATAACAGAACTTCATTCTCTTTATCGTCGAACAATATAACCTTGTCTGTGTATTCTACATTTTGTTTATCATCTCATCTGTTGATGAACAGTTGGGTTGTTTCCACCTTTTGCTTATTGTAAATGGTGTTCCAGTATCAGTTCGCATCTGCATCACAGGTCTGTAGTGCATAAACCTAGGAGTGGATTTGCGGAGTCACAAGTTAATTCTATGTTGAACCTATTGAGGAACTGCTCATTGTTGTACCCAGCAGCGGGACCGTTTTACATCCCCATCAACAATGGAAAAGGAGTCCAGTATCTACACATCCTCAGTAGCATCTCTTGTTTCTGTTTTTCTGATAATTGGCATCTTAATATGGGTGATTTGGGGTTTGATTTATATCTCCCTAATGACTTTTATCCACCACTCATCTGTCAGTTTGTCGTACTGTGGTGGCTTGTGAGTTGCTGTGATTCTGAAAGCTATGCCACAGGTGTTTTAAATTACCAGCAGGGTCACCCATGGTGGACAGGTTTCAGATGAGCTTCTAGTTGAAGACACACGAGGAAGAAGGAGTGACGAACTACTTCCGAATATTTAGTCACTGAAAATCTTATAAATAGCAGAGAAACACTGTCAGATATAGTGCCAGAAAATGAGCCTCTCAGGTTTGAAGGCACTCAAAATGCGACTGGGGAAGAGCTGCCTCCTCAAAGTAGAATTGACCATGATGATGTGAATGGAGTAAAGCCCGTGGAAGAAAAGCCCAAGGGACCTTCATTTGCTGATGGGGCACAACTCAAAATGAAGAGAAACAGCTATAAATATCAATTGAAAATGGGAACATGGAATGTACAGAGTATGAATCTGGGAAAATTGGAAGTTGTCAAAAATAAATGGAACACTTAAAACATCGATATCTCAGGCATTAGTGAGCTGAAATGGACTGGTATTGACCATTTTGAATCTGACAACCACATGTTTTACTATGCCAGGAATGACAAATTGAAGAGGAATGGTGTATTCATTGTTAAAAAGAACATATGCAGACCAGTCATGAGGTAAAACGTTGTCTGTGATAGGATAATATCCATGTGCTTGCAGGGAAGCCCAGTTAATACCACTATTATT